ACCATGTTGGCCTTTGAACTAGCTTATTAAGTTACTAGAAATTTAATAAACTACATTCTTCGCTTTACTTCGTCTTCATAGCTTTGCCTTGTCTTTGCAAAACTTTTATCATATGACTAGTGGCTGGTCGAGTTGCTTCAAAGAAGTAGATGATCAGGTGAAACTTTTTCTTGCCCGAGATGACTTGTGAAACTTTTAACTGTAGAGCTCGCAGTCGGAGATGTTGTTTGTAATAAGCAAGCAAGTTTGCATAGCTACTACAATCGTGAGCTTCGACTTGACAATTTGTAAAACTTTTAGCCATAGGGTTGGTAGTCGGACGCAATGCTTTTAAATAAGCAGACAGGTTCGCATAACCATTATGGCCACGGGTTTCGGCTTAGAGATCTTACAAAGTTGTTAGAGACATGGTTGACAGCCTTTTGAAGATTTGATTCTTTAATACCTTGAGCTGCATAGCTTGCATCACAACTTACTAAATATTTATGGGACAAAATTCGCTAACCAATCACATCATAAGTCTGAAGTCGTATGGAATTTCATAGGCAATGATTCAAAGAATACATTGCACTTTATGTAATCAATTTCATAGGTTGCGTAGCCTCACAACAATTTTGGAATCAGTGTGTAGTAATCCAAGGGGCTATTTTACACTCGGCAATGTGTAGTAACCCAAGGGTCTGTTTTGCACTTGTAGACTGCGTAGCATGTCGGTAGCGGATAAAGCTTTATATGAACACGAAGATTGTTAACTAGTCATGCAAAAATGTGCAGTTGTGTGAATCTTCATAGGCAGAGGTCCTGCACTTAGCTTTTCTTTCCGTAAAGACCCAGGTTCCCCCGAAATCAAATCATTCAGTTAGCTAGGACTTGAAAGAGGCTATCATGGCCAATTTTAGGAATGACTTCTTAAATCTTCATTGAGAATAATGATATGTATCAACTTTACGAAAGGTAGAAACTGCATAACAACTGGGAAAATCATTGTCTGCGAGGTCTTGTTTGTTAAGCTGCTTAAGTCTTCAAACTTATTTGGCTTGAACGGGGTTTAAGGAAAAATGGGAGCTCACGCATAGTCATTCCTCAAGTTGTAGGCATTCCACTGCTTCTCGATCTCTTTGTTGTTCATAGTGGTGAGGGTGTAGCTGCCCTTTCCACCTACTTAGCTGAACTTGTACAACTCTTCTCAGATCGGATCCATCTTTTTGAAGCCTTCTCGTTGGGCGATGATGAAGGTTTTTCTGATGACCAAATCTCTAAGCTGGAACTGCTGGATTTTCACCCTTCTATTGTTGTTGGAGATGAGCTATTGCTGGTAGGCCATGATGCAGGTGATAACCTTCTCACATTCTTGCTCTGCTAGGTCTAACTTTATGGCAATCTCCTTTATGTTCTTGCTCTAGATGGTGCATTCTTGCACTTGTCATTCTTCTTCCCCCCATGTGGTTGTGTCCCTTCTTTTTTGTAGCATACTGATGGCTTGTATTTATAGAAGCAGAAACCCTTCTAGGCTCCAGTTGAGGAATCCCTTGGTCTCTTCTCTGTTTCCAAATCAATTAAGTCTTCCCTTCATCTTTCCATGGCTATAACTATATGTTTCCTTTTTTGTATAACACCACAGAGACTACAAGCCCTGTGAAGGCTGTTTGAGCACACTGCCCAAAGTTTCTCCTTTCCGAGACCAAGTCCCACAATGCCTTTCCTAGATTAATTCCCATAACACGACATATCTTTGGTGACGCTCCTTCTTGCTTTCTCTCCTTTTTTTCCTGTGTGAACTTGGAAAAGAAAGATTCTTTTTTGCACAAAAAAGGGGCATATAGCTCTAGGTAAACATGTAATTTGTTCTGATGTGGTTAGCTCAGTTTTGGGTTTTGGTCAGTTCCGAAGTTTTCTAGTTGGTTTGTAAGGGAAATGGGAAGGATAAAGCTATTCTTCTCAAGCCTTCCTACTGAAGCCAAAATCATGGGCTTTGACTTTTGGTTCTCCCAAGTAGCCCAAAAGTCTTCCACAATTTTAATTCCAAGCATGCCTGGTGAATTTTCATAACCATCCATACCACGAACCCTCGGCAAGCCCCATTATGTTGCTGACGTCATTTAAGTGTGTCGCATATTGGGCGTGACTCGTATTATAATATTAATGTATTAATATCATAATACGGCTTGGCATGGTAGATATGCATGATTTTCATGGGCTTGCCGTCTAATAAACTATTATTTTATTGACATGACATGACATGATCGTAAATTGGCATATTCTCCATTTTGTACTTTGTGTATAGATTTAAGCTCGGCTTGTGGCGCTTCCACAACTTTGGCCTTGAGATATGATTGGGCTTCTAAGTGACATTTTTGGGCCCTAACACCTATAAATAATTTATAGAGGTTTCGCAAAAAGAAAGCGATCTTCAACTGAACACTCAAACCAATGCTCTATGCGAAACCCTTTCACACCCTAAGAAAAATAGTAACTGCTCACTAACCTCCTCCCAATTGGCATATAATTAGTTTGGTTAAACAACACTTTCCTATCTTTGTTAGTTTCCTATACAAGTCTTAGTCGGCAAAAATTTTCTGATTCTTTTGCTGAAAGAAGTCACTTCATCAATCTCTTAATGGAGTAAGGTGTTCTACGATTGATTACTCCCAAGTAAATTTAGAGTTTGGTATTCATTTGGCCGAACAACTTTCACCATAAGGACGCTAATTTCCTTTGAGTATTTTTCCCTTACAGGCTGATATTGATTCGGCACACTTATATTCTCATAAATATAGTTGAAGCACCGAACCCGGTCCAGATGATCCTGAATCGCAACGAGATTTGCAACCATGTGTTTAGGTTCTAAGAACCCTAGGCCAAGAGTGTTCTTTCCTCGACCATAGTCGCTCCGTCCACAAGATTGTAGCGCGATTTGACACCACCACTACATTCATCTTACTCACGCGATTCACCTCAATGGCGAGTTGGCACGCCTTCATCAATCACAAGAAGGACATAGTTAGCTCTTAGTTACCGGTCTATGCGCCACGTAAGTTGTTGGAAATTAATGATAATAATAATAATAATAATAATAATAATAATAATAATATTATTATTATTATTATTATTATTATTATTATTATTATTATCATCATCATAATATTAAATTTATTAATTGAATGGAAATTAGAAGTGATACCTTTTGATGGAAAGATGTGTTTATTCAAATAAAGAATTGCAACTTTTGACTCTTCATGAATGGTCACATTCTTTTAAAAGAGGTATATCAGATTCTACAAATAGGGAAGCCCCCTATAATCACTTAACAACTTTTCATCATACATGTGCACTAAAAATTAGAGAGCCTACATCGAGTCTATGTAGGGGTGGTTCGGTATGGGATACCATACTGAAACTAGTATCCCGAATCCCAAACCGAAATTTTTCGGGACGGGAATTTGAAGACCAATCCCAAACCAAATTTTCGGGAATCCCAAATTTCGGGAATCCCGAAATATTTTCGGGATTTTGGGACAAATCGGGAATCCCAGATTGAAATATGAAATTATGAATTGTTCTTCAAATATATAATTCAAGAACACATTTATGAACTAGGAATTTCATTTCATTCACACTACCATTTAATTGAACACTGGCATGCTTGACTCTTTTTATCATAGTCAAAATTCAAATTAATTAAACTCTTTTTGCAATCTGTTGAGAGACAAAAGAATCAAGCCTTCTGAAATCATCAGCCATGGCAGTAGCAATAATAAAATCCACATGAATATCAAACAGAACATGAAAAATATGCAAGGTGTAGGGCATTCTAGGTTGCTGAGCATGAATTAGAAACTACTAGCATCAATTACAAAAGAATAATATATATATATGTATAAATATATATAATAATTAATATTATATATTTTCGGTTTGGTATGGGATTCCCAAAATATCGAGAAGCCAATCCCGAATCCCATACCGAAATTTTGGGATTGGTTCGGGATAGCATTCCGAAAATTTCGGGAATTTCGGTTTGGGAAATTTTTGGTTTGGGATCGGGATTTTTTCGGTTCGGTTCGGGATTTTCAGGAATTTTTTCCACCCCTAAGTCTATGTGAGAAAGTTTTCAACACAATCGTAGTTCATTGGAGTCTTGTGATTTGGAGTGCTATTATTATAAGGACATGGTCGTTGTATCTTGGGAGACAAGCACTAATCAACTATGAGCACTGTAGTGGGTCATAAACTTGTCTTAAGGACAGAGTTTCCAACACTTGCCTTGACCGTATTTTCAGGTTTTTATAATCCATTATCTCATGTTCATTTAACATTGGTTACTTATGTGCATGCATTAATTTGATATATAATTGCACAAATTATTTCTTAGTTTTCTATGTGATTTAATATAACAATTAGACCCTAACTTTTTCCACATAAATTTGGTAAATTTAGAGGTCAACAGTAACATAAAAGAGTCTCTCTCACGATCCTACGTAAACCCAAAACAGGCGTATTTTGTCAGGTTTCACTAAAAAATTTGTAATGATGTAAGCTCTGTCCCACAACAAATGTGACTGGTAGAGACTTACATCACTAAATACAACAATTCAACTCTACCTCTTGTTTATAATATAAGGAAAGTACAAAAATTGGGACGTAGATCACTAAATCTCAAGTTACGGGAAATTATTATATTTAATTATTTCTTGTCTGCTTCACCTGTTCTTTCATTACCACATTTACCCATAAAAGAAATCGAATGATTATTGCAAAAAAAATAATAGAGGACAAAAGTCACTTTCACTGCTTGTCATGAATCCGTTTCTTTTTAACAAGTTGGAGAGCAGATTATTATGATAAATATAAAGAACAACCCGCCCACATCATATAGACATTAAAGAAATATGACAGTGAAGGAGAATACATAACCTGCTGTTCTATAAGTATCATTTTTGTTGGCTAGGTGTATACATCTCTGGAGCTTAACCATAGACCCCTCAAAACCTCTTCAAACAATGGCCAAACTTACAGTGGTAGATTTCTCCGACAAAGACTGCTTCAAGCCAGGGACCAGTTCTTGGCTCTCATTACGCAGAGACATTTGTCATGCACTTGAAGAGCTTGGCTGTTTCGTGGCAAAACTACCCGACCTAATTCCTTCTGAGATTCGCAGTCCCTTCTTTGGTACGTTGGATGAGTTGTTTAATTTCCCAACCGAAACCAAGCTGCAAATTACTTATGAAAGGCCTTTCCCCATGGGCTACATATCTTTGAACGCCGCTAATGAAAGCTTGGCGATTGGTTATCCTACAAACCCTGAAGAGACTAAAAAGTTTACGCATCACTTTTGGCCCAATGGAAACGATCAATTTCGGTATAAAATCTCAACCGAAATCCATCATAAAGATCCCAAGAAGATCCTCAAAAATCTATTTTTTTTCTTTTTAATTTTTACTCATTTACACTGTTATAATTTATTATTTGTTGGGCAGTCAGGGTGCTGATTTGTTTGCAACAGTGATGGAAAAACTAGATCATACTGTGACAAGAATGGTATTTGAAAACTATGGAGTGGAGAAGTACCATGATGATCACATTCGATCAGTTGTTTACTTCTACAAATTTAATAAATACAATGAACCTGAGAAAAGTGGAATTGATGTGGGAATGCCCGGCCATACAGACAAGGGCTTTAGCACCGTACTCTGTCAAAATCATGTCAAAGGTCTGGAAATACGGTCAAAGGACGATGAGTGGATTTCTTTTGATCCTGTGCCTTCATCCTTCATCTTTATAGCTGGTGATGGATTTAAGGTATGCCACAAAATTATGTGATATACGTGTCACGAGTTTGGTAACAAATTAAAGTTGTTTTTTTTTTTTTTTTTTTAAACAAAAAATACTATCTACGCTAAGGGAGAGAGAATATGTTTAGTCTCACAATGGGCTAGCAATAATATGGTTCAAATTCGCCTTTGACGAGAAACGAACTAAAGACCTCTTACTTACAAGTAAAGAAGAATACCGCTAGACCGTAATACTAAGTGACGGTAATAAATTAAAGTTTTAGAATTCAATAATGAAGCCTGTGATCATTTGGTCTCCTGGCACCCAGTCTCAACTCCCCACTTTGGCAGGAAAAAAATATTGAGAGACTCATGCTCAACTTACGATTGATATCATTGTATACTTTGTTCCAACATGTGCTAAATTTTAACGGGCGTGTTTATGGTTTTGGTTGACATAGGTTTGGAGCAACGACAGAATTCAAGCTTGTAAACATCGAGTCACCTTGAGGGAGAATGGTGTAAGACACTCGTTAGCTCTATTTTCATTCAAGGAAGGGGAAACATGCGTACCCAATGAGCTTGTAGACAAGGACCACCCCCTAAAGTATAAGCCATTGCATCTATTAGAATATGTTCAATATTTCATGGAGAATTACCCCACACTTGGACCTAACTTTTCCATCAAGACATATTGTGGCGTTTGATCTGTCGGATCGCAGACTCCAAGTCAATCCCTCTCTTATTGTTTTACTTAATTAATTTGCGACGTGTATTTTACTATTCTATTTTCTTTGCGAGTTTGTTTAGTATATGCTTATGTGATGGACGTCATGTCATTGCTTCTTATTTAATATAAAGTTTTAAAGAAAATGGCTTGACACTATTTATTTTTAATTAAAAGGATATTTTGTGTATGAAAAGTCCATAATGGATCAAGCTCTTTTCTTTATTTACTCTTATGCCATTTTTATTATTGGGGGGTCCACAATGATGTCGACATTTCTGCCTGGAAGTACATTATTTTACATGATGCTATTCAACTAATTTGCTACAGCTCTTCATGCTTCTATCATGTTGTCAATGTTATACAGCTCTTCTTCTGTCAAATTATTCCAGTACTGTTCATCGCCTTCTACTAGCTCTGCATCTCTTTCTCTATCTTCTTTCACTTTGTAGTACATATCTACTGTTTCTTCTTTGAAATTTTGAGGCTTCCAATAGGGCTAATGGATGATGCTTGTCTTACTGTAAATATACATTTCTTCTTCTTCTGCTACTAATATCATATCATACCTAAAATCTTCAAACTCATCTAAGACTAGCATTTGGATTCCTCGAAATTTTAGAATATTTTTATATGAAGGGGTCCATCTATGTGAGGAGATAGGGGATAGTTTAAAGGACTCTTCATTAATCATGGCTATATGCCTAGCTTTCTCCTTATGCATATGTACATACCAATATGGAGGACTACTAATAAAACTTATGCAAATTTCTTTCCATCTTTCTAGATAATCTTATGCTACTTTTAAAAGCTTTTCAGGAAATAATTCTAGTTGGGAGACATGTTTGATAAATATTTTATCAAGATAGCCAAACTCTAACAATAAGGCTAGGGTAACTTCTACCACATTATGTTTTTCTTGATACTCATAACTAAAATGTCATGGTCTATAATCTCTCATGTTAATCCTGGCCACATCTATGCTAACTTCCGGTTTACAAATACAACTCTTTGTACTATCACAAAGGCATGGTGGATACATCTTAGTAATAATATCTTTGTCTTGTTTTGGATCAAAGATGGACTAATACAAAGCACATTGTAATTGTAATTGTAACTCTTTCATGGACTGTGATGCTCTGCTCAGGATTTCATTTTGCATATCTAGTGGCATTATCCTTAATTTTGTTTTTGAAATTTCTTCTTATAGGATATCATCTATTATTAAGTCTAAAAATATATTCCTAAGAAAACTTTCATATCTTTCTTGTTTTTCTTTGTCACTCAGATGTTGATGTTGTTCATTATTTTGATGCTGTTCCATTTCAATGCCTTCTTCTAAGAGCTGAATCTTAATCTCTTCTATGGGCTTATTAGTCTCTTGTTCTATGGGTTCAATAACCTCTTTTTCTTTATTCTTATGTTGATCAGTTTCCACACCTATTTTCAATTCTCTTTTTAGGGTGTCACTTGCCTTCTGTTGCATTCTAAGAGATTGGAGTTCTTGATTCATTTTGGTAAACTTTCTAAGTAATGACTCATAGTCCCTAGAAATGACTTGAAGGTTGTGCTCAAGAGAATGAATATGATGCTGGCTTTGATGGATACTAAAATTAAAACTGTCAAACTCTTGTTCTAAGACTCTAATTAATTTTTCATGACCTAACTTCATGCTTGGTTGTTTGATTTGGATATTCCAAAAATTATCTAAGAGAACATGTTGCCTATCAGAAAGTTCTGGTACTCTTGGCTTATATCTCAGAGTTGGATTTTTGATTCCTTCAACAATATTGTCATTAAAGTTGAAAGTGGGTACTGGTAGTGATGCTAGTCTGCTTATGCTATTTTGGAATCCATTGAATGGTGGAGGTCCATGGTGCATCATTATGCTATTGAAAGATTATGTTATTGAAAGATGCTCTTCTGCTTTGTGGTCTTGTGCCATATGAAGATGATGATCCACAATATTTCATTCCTGTTCAACAAATTAATCTCAATAAGATATCAGCTAATGTATTGTCATTACCTTTTATATGTTCAAAAATTGGTTTAAAATTATTTCCTGTAATTGAATCAACAAAATTAACCCATATTCGGGCTGCCTGTTTATTAGCATGTATCTTGTTATAATGAGAAACTATATTTTGACAATCTGTTCTAATCGTAAATACTTCATTATGTAAAAATAAAGAAAATGCCTCAAGTGAGTTAATTATTCCTAAAATTTCTAAATCCGTTGACAGTAGTCTTGACTGTACATCACTAAATTTTCCTGATGAATATCTACAAACTTGTTCGTCAGACTTTGGAGACTCCTTATGCTTTTTCTGGTATAATATATCTGCCTATCCTAATGATGAAGCATTTGTTTCAACTACTTTATAACTATCATCTAATGGTAATATTAATGGCTTAAGTTTAATAATTTCTTCCTTTATATTTTGAACTAATTTAATACCTTCACTATTAAAATACTTTTATCTAGTTTTGCTAGTTTTATTGTGTACTACTGCTATTTTTCTTCCTAAATCAGGCATAAAATTTCTTGCATAATTTAACAATCCTAAAAATACTTATAACTGTTTTTTGTCTTCTAACTTATTTGGAAATTCTAAGACCTTTTTAATTATATGATCTTGTAATTGTATTGTACCTGACTTGATATACATTACCTAAAATTTCTATATCTTGCTTTTCTAATGCTATTTTATTTTTGCTAATCACAATTCCATTATTGATAAATTCTTGTAAAACTATTTCTAAGTGCTTTCTATGTTCATTTCTATTTTTACTATGTACCAAAATATCATCTACATAAACACTACAAAATTGATCATTTTTCTTGAAAATTTGGTCCATCTTTCTTCGAAAGATTGATGGAGCATTTTTAAGTCCAAATGGCATAACAAGTCACTCAAAATGTCCTTCTGGGCAAGTAAAAGTTGTCCACTCAATTGATTCTTCTGCTAATAGTATTTGCCAAAATCCTGATTTATAAGCTCATCCTTATTTGGTAGCTTATAACTATCTTCATATGTATTATCATTTAATTTCTTGTAATTATAAACTATTCTATCTTTACCTCTCTTAAGTTCTAAATGTTTTCTCACAATAAATGTTGTTGATCTATGTCTAGACTTAGAGGGTCTAATTACTTTTAAATTTAACAACTCTTTTATTTGCTGTTCACACTCTTACTTATCTAATAAACTATAATGCATATCAACTGTCTTTATGGTTAAATATGGATTAATTATATCTAATTTTGCTATTATTTTATTTTTACTCCAATGTAACTGTGGGTCTTCTCCTATAATCCTAGTTTGTTCTGCTAATTGTAATAATTCTTCCAAAATGTTTGGTTTATTACAGTTCATTGGTCTATCTAACTGTAATGTTTCTATACGGATTCCTTCCTCTAAAATTGGATATTCATGTTCAAATATTTCTTCATCAAACTCTTCTATAGTATTATGCTTATCATTTTCTTTTGAGTTTTCCAAATAATAACTATCTTGACTACTAGACTCTTCTATACTTAAACTTTTGTATGATTCTACAATATTACTTTGGTTAGTTATTGTAATACCTCTTTTGAAAAATGTTATGCTAGGGTTCATAAATAAAAAACCTTATAAACTTTTCAAAAAGTTTAATCCTAAAATAAATGGGTATGATCCTACTAGTGAAACAAATGCTAATGGTAAATTAAATTGTTGTTTTTCTACTTTAATAGACTCATTATTAATGCAATATGTTAAGTAAACTGGTCTCTCATCAAATTGTGTTATTCTCACTGGCTTTGCTAATTTCTGTCTATATTTTTCTGGTACTAACTCTTCTCTTATGACACTCTTTGTACTCCTTGTATCTATCATAGCTGTTGTTTGTATCTTATGTTCTTTTGCTAATTCTATTTCACAATTTATGGTAATTAAAGAACTAATTTTTGACTTTTCTATACTATGAAAAATATTTCCTAGTATTTCAGTACTTTCTAATGATTCTGCTGAATTAACTTCTAATAACCTATTACTATAACACTTTTCACATAATATTGAATATGTATTATAGTACTTATTTGCAACTAACTTGTTACACTTATGACATTTTTCTGGCCAACCTAAATTAATGTATTTATACTCTTCTTCATGCTGTTCTTTTATGAATGCACACATATACTCTTCTAAATCACTATTTGTACTACTTGAATATTCCGAGTCTGAATCTATCATATTTATACTTTCTATACTATAAATACTTTCATTATCACTTAAATCATCTAAGTTATATATTGACTGTATATCTTCATCTTCTTCTAACTTAAACTATGACATTCCACATTACCCAGGGGAGTGATCCTTAAATGTATATTCTCATCTCTACCTAGCACGAGGCCTTTTGGGAGCTCACTGGTTTCGGGTTCCATTGGAACTCCGAAGTTAAGCGAGTAGCGCGCGAGAGCATTCCTAGGATGGGTAACCCATTGGGAAGTTCTCGTGTGAGTTCCCAAAAACAAAACCGTGAGGGTGTGCTGAGGGCCCAAAGCGGACAATATCGTGCTATGGTGAAGTCGGGCCAGGGAAGTGGTCCCCCTCGGGTCGAGATGTGACAATTTGGTATCAGAGCCTAACCCTGGTCGTGGTGTGCCGACGAGGACATCGGGCCCCTAAGGGGGGTGGATTGTGACATCCCACATCGCTGATGGGAGTGATCCTTAAATGTATATTCCCATCTCTACCTAGCACGAGGCCTTTTGGGAGCTCACTGACTTCGGGTTCCATTGGAACTCCGAAGTTAAGCGAGAAGAGGGCTAGAGCAATCCCATGATAGGTGACCCACTAGGAAGTTGCTCTTGAGTTCCCAAAAACAAAACCGTGAGGGAATGGTAAGCCCAAAGCGGACAATATCGTGTTACGGTGGTGAAGCGGGCCTGGGAAGTGATCCATCTCGGGCCGGGATGTGACATAAACAACTCCA